GACGGCCATGACTGTCCGTGAAGACGATGACGGCCATGGATGTCTGTGAAGACGATGATGTTCACGCTGTCCGTGAAGACGATGACGGCCATGCCTGTCTGTGAAGACGATGATGTTCACGCTGTCCGTGAAGACGATTACGGCCATGACTGTCCGTGAAGACGATGACGGCCATGCCTGCCTGTGAAGACGATGATGTTCACGCTGTCCGTGAAGACGATTACGGCCATGACTGTCCGTGAAGGCGAAGACGGCCCATGACTGTCCGTGAAGACGATGACGGCCATGGATGTCTGTGAAGACGATGATGTTCACGCTGTCCGTGAAGACGATGACGGCCATGCCTGTCTGTGAAGGCGAAGACTGCCATGACTGTCCGTGAAGACGATGACGTTCATGGGTGTCTGTGAAGGCGAAGACGGCCATGACTGTCCGTGAAGACGATAATGTTCACGCTGTCCGTGAAGACGATGACGGCCATGGCAGTTTGTGAAGGCGAAGACGGCCATGACTGTCCGTGAAGACGATGACGGCCATGCCTGTCTGTGAAGGCGAAGACTGCCATGGCTGTCTGTGAAGACGATGACGGTCATGGCTGCCTGTGAAGACGATGATGTTCACGCTGTCTGTGAAGACGATGACGGCCATGACTGTCTGTGAAGACGATGACTTTCACGGCTGTCTATGAAGACGATGACGTTCATGGCTGCCTGTGAAGACGATGATGTTCGCGCTGTCTGTGAAGACGGTGACGTTCATGGCTGTCTGTGAAGACGATGACGTTCATGATTTTGAGATCTGTTAGCTTAGTATGGTTGACAGTAACCCTGTGAAATTATGACTGGTCATCCAGGGAAATCTCGTCTTGACCGCATATACCTGTGTTTTATTGATTAATCCACAGACATGTCGAAATAACCTGCATACCTACTTCTGGTCTCTCCTCTTTATTGTAATAATAACTTACACACCTACTTCTGGTCTCTCCTCAATATTGCAATAATAACCTACACACCTACTTCTAGTCTCTCCTCTTTATTGTAATAATAACCTACACACTTACTTCTGGTCTCTCCTCTTTATTTTAATAATAACCTACACACCTTCTTCTGGTCTCTCTCTATAACCTACACACTTACTTCTGGTCTCTCCTCTTTTTTGTAATAATAACCTACACACCTACTTCTGGTCTCTTCCTTTATTGTAATAATAACCTACACACCTACTTCTGGTCTCTCCTCTTTATTGTAATAATAACCTACAAACCTACTTCTGGTTTCTCTCTATAACCTACACACTTACTTCTGGTCTCTCCTCTTTATTTTAATAATAACCTACACACCTTCTTCTGGTCTCTCTCTATAACCTACACACCTACTTCTGGTCTCTCCTCTTTTTTGTAATAATAAACCTACACACCTACTTCTGGTCTCTTCCTTTATTGTAATAATAACCTACACACCTACTTCTGGTCTCTCTCTATAACCTACACACCTACTTCTGGTCTCTCCTCTTTTTTGTAATAATAACCTACACACCTACTTCTGGTCTCTTCCTTTATTGTAATAATAACCTACACACCTACTTCTGGTCTCTCTCTATAACCTACACACCTACTTCTGGTCTCTCCTCTTTTTTGTAATAATAACCTACACACCTACTTCTGGTCTCTTCCTTTATTGTAATAATAACCTACACACCTACTTCTGGTCTCTCCTCTTTATTGTAATAATAACCTACACACCTACTTCTGGTCTTTCCTCTTTATTGTAATAATAACCTACACACCTACTGCTGGTCTCTCCTCTTTCTTGTAATAATAACCTACACACCTACTTCTGGTCTCTTCCTTTATTGTAATAATAACCTACACACCTACTTCTGGTCTCTCCTCTTTATTGTAATAATAACCTACACACCTACTTCTGGTCTCTTCCTTTATTGTAATAATAACCTACACACCTACTTCTGGTCTCTCCTCTTTATTGTAATAATAACCTACACACCTACTTCTGGTCTCTTCCTTTATTGTAATAATAACCTACACACCTACTTCTGGTCTCTTCCTTTATTGTAATAATAACCTACACACTTACTTCTGGTCTCTCCTCTTTATTTTAATAATAACCTACACACGTACTTCTGGTCTCTCTCTATAACCTACACACTTACTTCTGGTCTCTCCTCAATATTGCAATAATAACCTACACACCTACTTCTGGTCTCTCTCTATAACCTACACACCTACTTCTGGTCTCTCCTCAATATTGCAATAATAACCTACACACCTACTTCTGGTCTCTCCTCTTTATTGTAATAATAACCTACACACTTTCTTCTGGTCTCTCCTCTTTATTTTAATAATAACCTACACACCTACTTCTGGTCTCTCCTCTTTATTGTAATAATAACCTACACGCCTACTTCTGGTCTCTTCCTTTATTGTAATAATAACCTACACGCGTACTTCTGGTCTCTCCTCTTTATTGTAATAATAACCTACACGCCTATTTCTGGTCTCTTCCTTTATTGTAATAATAACCTACACACCTACTTCTGGTCTCTCTCTATAACCTACACGCGTACTTCTGGTCTCTCCTCTTTATTGTAATAATAACCTACACGCCTACTTCTGGTCTCTTCCTTTATTGTAATAATAACCTACACACCTACTTCTGGTCTCTTCCTTTATTGTAATAATAACCTACACACCTACTTCTGGTTTCTCTCTATAACCTACACACCTACTTCTGGTCTCTCTCTATAACCTACACGCGTACTTCTGGTCTCTCCTCTTTATTGTGATAATAACCCACACACCTACTTCTGGTCTCTCTCTATAACCTACACACCTACTTCTGGTCTCTCTCTATAACCTACACACCTACTTCTGGTCTCTCCTCTTTATTGTAATAATAACCTACACACCTACTTCTGGTCTCTTCCTTTATTGTAATAATAACCTACACACCTACTTCTGGTCTCTTCCTTTATTGTAATAATAACCTACACGCCTATTTCTGGTCTCTTCCTTTATTGTAATAATAACCTACACACCTACTTCTGGTCTCTCTCTATAACCTACACGCGTACTTCTGGTCTCTCCTCTTTATTGTAATAATAACCTACACGCCTACTTCTGGTCTCTTCCTTTATTGTAATAATAACCTACACACCTACTTCTGGTCTCTTCCTTTATTGTAATAATAACCTACACACCTACTTCTGGTTTCTCTCTATAACCTACACACCTACTTCTGGTCTCTCTCTATAACCTACACGCGTACTTCTGGTCTCTCCTCTTTATTGTGATAATAACCCACACACCTACTTCTGGTCTCTCTCTATAACCTACACACCTACTTCTGGTCTCTCCTCTTTATTTTAATAATAACCTACACGCCTACTACTGGTCTCTTCCTTTATTGTAATTACAACCTACACACCTACTTCTGGTCTCTCCTCTTTATTGTAATAATAACCTACACACCTACTTCTGGTCTCTCCCCAATATTGCAATAATTACCTACACACCTACTTCTGGTCTCTCCCCAATATTGCAATAATTACCTACACACCTACTTCTGGTCTTTCCCCAATATTGCAATAATAACCTACACGCCTACTTCTGGTCTCTCTCTATAACCTACACACCTACTTCTGGTCTCTCCTCTTTATTGTAATAATAACCCACACACGTACTTCCGGTCTCTCCTCTTTATTTTAATAATAAACTACACACCTACTTCCGGTCTCTCCTCTTTATTGTAATAATAAACTACACACCTACTTCTGGTCTCTCCTCTTTATTTTAATAATAAACTACAATACATTTTAAGATGACGATGTTTGTTGATGTAATATCTATACTGATGTTTTGTACGTGTCTATGATATTATGAAATACGACTTCGGAGACTAGAAATTATATAAAGGTAAAGTCTATAACATGATAGGTGGCGTGATAATTAACAGAACCCAAGTGTCTACCTATCGCAACAGTAACCTTGACCTTCGTACATTAAAAACAATACCAAGGAGGCGATCTCTTCAGGAAACCATTGGATTGGCTGTGAATGGAATTGGCCAAAATAACTCGATAATCTTTGCAAGAACTTATTTCCTATGTATATCAACAGTGACCTTGACTTTGATATTTTGACATCCGTAAGTAAGGAAGACTGAGAGAAATGTGTCCATATTAAACACAAGACATTGTACAGACACCAATTTTCTATTAGAGTTACAATAGTAAAAGTGACCTTGATAACACGCCAGGAAGCCATCTGCAAAACAGAAATCGAGATAAAAGCGCGGTAACAGAAGTCTGATGGACGGACACAGACAAGGGTGATCGCAAAACTCCTGTTTTGATCTCCGATATGGGATTGGGATAGGGGTCTGATCAAACGTCTTCAGTCAGCTGAATTATACAAATACTGACTACTTGGCAAGGGTTTACTTGTAGTAGAACGGACTTATGATGTATGGACAAAGTTGGATAGATTCTGATGTCGTCAGTTTTAAGGAAATTCGCAGAGCATAATAGAGGCTGGTACTGGAAACGTAATGGAAAGCTGAGAGAAAACTAACTGAGGTTAAGATGATATATAATTACAGCGCCATGCTTTTCTGAATTGGCCCATTTTCGTAAACATAATGACTTGTTTTACATGTAACATGTTTTTCAGGGAAACATACCAGAGGATATATATGGTCCAATTATCAACCACTTTGGGGCATTCTTTGGTTGAAATGACCCGAATCACTTTATATCATCCGAGTTACATACTAAATAGTAGCAAACAAACCGATCATGATATGAAAATGGAGACCGAAATGTATGTGCTCTCGATGGAATTGACCGTTGGGAAAAAAAGAATGGTGTTTTTTTTAAGTGAAAAACTGCGATATGAAAATGAAAACGTGTGATCTACAGCAGTATCTAAACATTTAGTAAGTGGTTCAATCATTATCTTTTATTTAACGACCATTGCTTACTTTCCGCGGAAGCTGGACAAGCCCGAGAAAGGGAATGGTACACAGACCAGAAGGTTGGCGATCGCCATGTTGAGCTGCAGTATATGACGGGGTGAGCCGATTGGAGATTCTCTCATAAACGTCACTATGGTGAAGGCATTGGCCAGCACGCCGGCAGCTCCTGTCAACAAAGGTCAAGGACATTTAGTTTATTTCAGAACGTTTTTATTGCACAAATAAAAGTGCAATAAGGACCGGGCAACAGACGAAGCCTTTACTAGCCCTCCCCTTATATCATTTACAGCAAATACACATCATTACACATCACTAGGAACAAAAATAGGATTGATTATTTTAAATCATACAACTGGGAGTAAGGTTAAAAGAGATATACTTAATTACAATGGATTTCCAGATTGATGATAGAAAATAAGAGATAATGTAAAGAAACAATAACAAGTCCGACAGCATTACTAGATTGACAATAATACATTTATATAGTAAATAGATCAGCCATAACAGTATGCCCATAGGCAAATAAAAACTACCACCAGTTAAAAGGGTTACCTAAGTGAACCTTCTGATTTATCCCTGGACAATATCTATTAATACATTTATAAAGTAAAAAGACCATAATCTTAGTCATAATAAAGTGATTATAGGCAAATTAAAATTGCTACCAGCTGAATTTTTGAAGATATCGTTGCCTTTTTGAAACATCTGGTATCTAATATAAATCTATTTATACCAAAATTACTTGTTTGAAGGCCGCATACAAGAAGTCCCGATAGTGAGCGAAATGGTGTTGTTCAGGTTAGATATAGAGTACAGAGAGGGCAATGAAGACAAACACTATCTTCAATTAGATAACCACACAGGGAGGCAGGACTATCAGTTAAACGAGTCAGAATCTAAGTTAGTCACAGAGTTTCTAAGTTGATATAATGTTAAGCTTTTAGCGCCATAGTAATTGAAGATATCAGCACATAAAACTTGTAAATAGAGATTATTACGATGTGAAAAAGCCTTCTTTAAAGTTTTGATAGATGTTACAGAAGGAAACATACAGACAGGATCGTCCAATTCTGCTGTAAGAGAAGGGAACTCTCACTATATAAACGTGTTCTGGATATGGTAATCAAAACATCTATTGTGTCGAAAATTGTAATTATCAATGGTATCAGTATATGGTTGTAGCAAGTCATGTATATAGGAAGGACACTTTTGATTATATATCTTTGAGAATTAATATTCCGATGATTTCTTACTCCGAGTGGAGCAATACCTCTATACAAATATTGTAACTAGTACCCACTCTTAAACCCGTTATCATACCTGTATTTTCAAGTTGGATCGACTTCAGGACATTTCATTCTACTAGAGTACAGTTAGCCCAGACAATGTTAGCATACTCTAACACTGGCCATATAAATATAGTATAATTTATCTCTAAAATATTTCTATCATTCGTGAATTTCAGCATTCTTAAGATGTTGATCTTTTTGTTCTTTTCTTCGTGGTGTAGTTGAGGACATTACTCCTGTCAAAAACATTTTGAAAACACGCGAGAAATACTTCGCGGAACGTTTTGTATTGTCTTTAGTGATGCTGAAAGGTATGTTGTTGTTGTCCGTGTGACATTGACAACAGCTCACGTCAGTCACCTTGTTTCGCACTTTGAATAGTTTAGTCCATGACCATATACGTGACATCTGTGTGACAGACATCACCGCTCGACTCTGAACACCAGTTTAAACAGCTCTGATCCAGGAAACCCCTGCTCGTGTTTACCATAATCATACTTTCAGTTACTTGTGTTACCTGTATGTAGAAACGATCTAACATACCATTTCTGTTATAAATTTCAACACTGTTTACACAATCGATAATATGAGCCTAACACAGGGAAACATAGACTGAATCCCTACAACAAAAGTTCAAAGTTCACCTGCTATAGGTTTCCCAGGGAAACCTTAAACAAAAACAGGACATATCAACTTACCCTCAAGTAAAGCAATACATGAAGAGGAAATTTCACTCCTCGCCTCGGATGAAATAATGAAACTATCAAACAGAATATGGATATACATTCATTCAACTAAAACTGGAAATACCGACTTCTGAAAACATCCGTTATAACAAATTAGGACATATCGATGTAAAATTTAAATCTCGCATTCGAATACAAATGGGAAACACGAACTTTCATTCAAAATACTTTATTTTACAATGTAAATTGTAGTATACAATATGATACGTGCGTTTACAGTGTACTGTGGTGGCACACGTAATACTATGGTGGTGTACGATGTTATGTGTTGGTACACGGTGTTATGTGGTGGTACACGATATAATATGGTGGTACACGATATGATGTAGTGGTACAAGATATGATTTAGTGGTACACGATGTAATGTGGTGGTACACTGTGTAATGTGGTGATACATGAAGTGATGTGGTGGTACACGATATTATGTGGTGGTACACAATGTTATGTGGTTGTTTACTATGTTATGTGGTGGTACACGATGTTATGTGGTGGTACACGATATGATGTAGTGGTACAAGATATGATTTAGTGGTACACGATGTAATGTGGTGGTACACTGTGTAATGTGGTGATACATGAAGTGATGTGGTGGTACACAATGTAATGTGGTGGTACATGATGTAATGTGGTGGTACATGATGTTATGTGGTGGTACATGATGTAATGTGGTGGTACACGATGTAATGTGGTGGTACACGATGTAATGTGGTGGTACACGATGTTATAGGGTGGTACATGATGTTATGTTGTGGTACACAATGTAATGTGGTGGTACATGATGTAATGTGGTGGTACACGATGTTATGTGGTGGTACACAATGTTATGTGGTTGTTTACTATGTTATGTGGTGGTACACGATGTTATGTGGTGGTACACGATGTAATGTGGTGGTACACGATGTTATGTGGTGGTACATGATGTAATGTGGTGGTACACGATGTTATAGGGTGGTACATGATGTTATGTTGTGGTACACAATGTAATGTGGTGGTACATGATGTAATGTGGTGGTACATGATGTTATGTGGTGGTACATGATGTAATGTGGTGGTACACGATGTAATGTGGTGGTACACGATGTTATGTGGTGGTACACGATGTTATAGGGTGGTACATGATGTTATGTTGTGGTACACAATGTAATGTGGTGGTACATGATGTTATGTGGTGGTACATGATGTAATGTGGTGGTACACGATGTTATGTGGTGGTACACAATGTAATGTGGTGATACACGATGTAATGTGGTGGTACACGATGTTATGTTGTGGTACACAATGTAATGTGGTGGTACATGATGTAATGTGGCGGTACACGATATTATGTGGTGGTAAACAATGTGATGCGGCGGTATATGTGTTATTTTATTCAATGTATAATTGTCATAATACATCATTTGGTGGTATACAATATAATGTTATACAATGAAGTGTGTTGATTAACAGTGTAATACAATGTAGTGTTGTCGAATACAGTGAGGTGTATCGGTATACAATGTGTTAAAGGGAGCGTCCGCAAACATACACTGATACCGACAACAGACCTCACCCTGTAACGTATACTAACGATGGTGTATTGCTGTCAACACATGTGTGGTACTGCTCATCAGTACTTGGCGGTAATCATTACCGGAGCCTGGTAGTGGATGGGGTTTTGTCTCCTAATTGTTGGTCGGCAATCCGGCCATGGCAGGTCCCCGTTTATCAGATGATGATGATGATGATGATGGTTTCTCGTCTCCATGACTCTTGCCGTGCGTTGTCCAATCGACTGGAGTCGATTCTCTTGCGACGTGAGGAGGTGCTCCCCACATGGGCTGGAGTCGTCTGGGGATACAATAATCTATAATTTTGAAGACGACTCCTTGGCGTAATGGTTTCTGTCGTCTTCCGATGATCCATGGCAGGACTTCCGGTGGGGAAGGGGGTCCTATCATCTGTGTCCTGCCCAATCACCAGACTGTCCTTCTATGTGTTCTAAATTTTAGATCAGGAGCAATTTAGAAGTCTTTGTGTAATGTTTTAAAATAATGATACGAAGGCCGAATGAAGTTATTAATTATAAGGGCTCATAGGTAGGAGGATCTATCACTGTGCAGCCCTTTTTATACCCCAGCCCCCTAGTTCAATATGCGACCTGCACCCCTGCATCTCATACCCAATCTGAGTGGCCAAATCTATGGCATATGCGTAGTGAGGTTAGAACGTCTTCCGGCAGCCTATCAGGATCCAGTCGTCTCGGAAGTACCCCAAATCTCTCCCAGAGTGTATTGCGGTACCCCAATTACAAATTACACCTGCTCTCGCCATTTCAAGATTCTTGAAAAAGATCTTTGTGTAAAATAATATATCAAAGTATATAAGAAATAAGTCTTTCATTATTTTTCTGTTTTGTTATTTGTATGATAATTTTGAAAATAGATGTTTGTTCGTCTGGAAAATGGCTACATTAGTTTATAAGGTTATAAACGTTATGGCTTATATCGCAGAAGATTCACTCCGAGTTAGCCGTCGTGTTTACATTTTGTACTTTCACTTTTCAACTACCGACGTGTTCTTGAGGTACATGTTGATATATTGTGATGTCAGTGATAACTGATGGTAATTTGCCTACAATATTAGCTTATATCCTCTTAGAAAAGACAAAAGATGTTTTTATGCTGATCAATAGCATACAAAAGTCTACAGCTGTGTCGTTCGTTAGTGCAGTCAAGGGTGCTGGCGTAGTTTTGCACGACATCCAACATACTCCGAATGTCTAGCCCTACCGTACCGTTGGTTACAAATAAAGAATGTTATCATTAAAGAGACCCACAGTGATAACAGTATAACGACTGATACAGATAGAACCATAGTTAGGCTAGTGACCTGTTTTCCCACAAATGTAATTTTATAAAAAATAATAATAATAATGTTGTCGTGACACACAGTGAAAAGTTATGCAACATAGTTTAGGTTTATGAAAATGTGTACATACAATACTGTATTTCTACTGAACTCTGTACAAATAAAATACTTTATTTTTGTTAATTGGGAAACTAGATTCCCTTGTAACGACCAAAACAGTAATTATGGTGTTGTAATGGTCTTGTAACAAGCTTTAGTATCAAGTCCACTACTCGTCTCAGCAA